TTTGCTATTTCCATAAGCATTGTTATTCGTGGTGTTACAGCAGATTGAACATCGGCATTTGCCGCCGCAACATCTGGCGTAACACCGCGTGGCAGTTCTGCCGGTAATGAACCAGTTTCTTCTTCAATTTTCTTTATCATCTGTTGATAAACCTGATATAATAAAATTGTGACATTCCTTAACAATCAATATAACAATGATGATAATGACGATAATTTTTATTATATCATAACATATTTAATCATACTTTCAATGGATCAATTTCCAAATTTAGATCCTTTAGCTCAATTAAACTGTTTATCTGTTTTGAAAGAACTGATTTAAGATAACTTTGACCTGGCCCTCGCCGAGTATATGTTGTCATCATTCGAGAAACTGGCGTGTTCGCTCGAAGTAGGGAATTGAAATCTGATGTAGTCTCAAATTGTGCCGAAAGTACAGACTAATTTTTCATTAAAAAAAAAAAAAGAATAGCATGTCTCATTAAATGAAAAATAAAATAAAATAAATTACATAATTCTAGATGAATAATTACCTGGAACATTGTTAATAATAAATGCTCTTCTCTACTTTCGTATTGATTTCCGTATATAGTAAACATAACTGTCTGTAACAAAGTATCAATTTCTGTAAGACTGACCAGACGACATAAAGCTGCAATGTGTCGTGGTTCAGCTTGGAGTAGAAAAAACAGGTTTCCATATTGTTGCATTTTACGATCATCCGGAAAGATACCATCTAATGAATCTGTGCTATCAAATGCACTTTCCACTTCTTGTTTCTTTTATAAGAAAATTTTTAATATCATTATAAATATTAGCCTCATGTTTATATATATATATATATATTTAATCCTTTAATCTAATTAAATTACCTCATCCAACGCAATCCGGTTCGCAATTAATAATGCTATACGTGAGTCCAAATATCGTACATCCCGTTCCAGGACGAAATTTTTTTTGGATTGTGTTGAAATTCGACTTTTTAATTCTCTTAATCGTTTTTGAGCTAGAAAAATGAAATAATTTTAATATTAGTTCAGGACATTCTTGAAATTTAGAATATGAGGTTTTGTATATAAAGAATTGAATTAAGCTATGAAAAAAGTGTACTGCTATTATATATTGCAAACCCTTTCCAAAGCAATGTATTACATGCAAAAACCGTATTGTATAGGAAAAATTTGTTGAGTAATTTTGATCATTAAGGTACTGTATATTTCTAAATTATCAAATGAATTTAACTCTAGTTAATTTTGAGGGTTCTTTTCCAATCTTCGCAGTTACTCTACCTCTGGCCAAATCATCTTCAACTTCAACATCTCGTTCAGCGGCCATAGAATAGAGTGCATTAACGGAGTACCTTTTGCTAGAACGACTAACGTTAGTACCCGTTGTTGCCCTTCGACTAGAAGATCCCCCATTTGAAGATCGTGAACCAGTTGTGATGGGGATTCCATAAGTAGTTAATATACTTTGTGAATCCATTCAAAAAGCAATCTTTTAGTTAAATGCCGTCTTTACTAGGAAGTTTTTTATCTACTATTGTTTTATGGTTTTACATTGGTGTAATAAAAGTAGCTTTTATCCATAATTCTTTCTCAAGTGACAAGTGTCTCACAAATCTAATTCTTAATACAATATATAGGCACAGCAGACTGGCATTAAAAGTAGTGTAACCCACCCCACGCTTTACCGTTTCAATAACTTAAATAATTGGCCACAAATCTCGAAAAGCCTTTTTATATATTTGTTTCTTTGAAACTTTACTCACTTTACTCACTTACCCCTTTAGCAAGTAAATTAAATAAATAAATAAATAAATAAATAATTTTACCATTCATTATTTATTCCATTTATTATGCGTAAAATGCAAAATTTATCATCGTGAAAGGTTTAAATTGATCACCAATCATATATTTTCCCGGATGACATTACATTTCATGCGGCGAAAATTTGGTGAAACTTGTGATTTCTTGGCTAGCATCAAGAATTTTTAATATCGGCCAAGCTATTCATCCGGGATCGTCGTCTTCCGAAGAAGATCTATAATTTTAACAATTAATTATTATTTTTTAATAATTATTGTTTATGTACCATAGGACCAATGAATAGCAATGTGTTTACCGATTTTTCGCTGATCAAGTCAAAGAGATATTCCGTTTATTGTAAAAAAATCAAAGAAGCCCTTCTTTCTTAAAGTAAATAACATGTTATTTTTAGAAATTTTCTTTTTTTTTGAAAAATTCTTTTGGAAACATATTGGAAATTTAGGTGTACCGATAGAAAACACATCAATCGAAGGATTACAATATTATGTTAATGCTCTAAAGGTGTATTAGGTATTATTGGTGGGATTTAATACTTAACGTTAATAAAATACCTATCATAATCATCACATTTATTCTGGATGAAGAAAGTTCTGACTAACTTTGGAAATTTTGTTGATAGAAAATTCATTATTGTATAATTTATCAATAAATAGTTATAAATGCTACAGTAAAAAACTTTTCTCCTCCAAACCTTTATATAATATAACAGTTATTTTTGTACAATATTTGAGCGGGGTGGTAATTTCTCCAATCACGGATCGACTCGATTGTCGAGCATTAATTTACGTATTGATTGAGTTTAATTCATGATTTGGTTCCTAGTTTATGAGTCGATTCATTGTTTTTATTATATCATTTATAAATATGGATGACGATCTACAAGGATGGTAAAGAACAACTTTGATTATTTAGTAGGTTCTAAAATTTTATTATCGTCACGGACCAATCTGATTTCGATCTAATCCCCAACATTCAGATATGATCGGATCTAGAATTTTTTTTTTTTTTTTTTTTTTGAGGTTGTAAACATGATTTCGTTGGTTCAGAAGGGTTTTTTCATTTTCACAGCTATTAAATCTTTCCCAATATCTAAAAATTTTTACCTAGTAGGTTAAATTTTCATCAAGTTTTTAATTTAAATATAGAATCATGAACATATTTAAAAATATTTTATAGAAAATCCGTCAACAATCCACCAATGTCTCGAGACAACTTTACGAGAATGCGCAAGATAACGCAAGTAGTGATCCGGAAGGAAGTTCTGCTAGATTTTCTCGTTTTTCTGAAGAACTTATATCCGGGCCTAGTTTGGACGAATTTGTCAATGCAAGCTCACAAGACTTTGGCTTGGAGAAGAATCAAGAGTTGGATTTCGATTCGCAAAATACTTTAAAAATTAATGAAAGTAAGAGGAAACCGTAAGCACAATAAATAATAAGTCTTTGCATATTTCTTAGGTCAGTGTTGGCAAAGGACCTTGAAATAACCTCAAATGAATTCAAATGACCTCATTTTTATTTGAAATTTCAATTAAACCATGACCAAGGTCATTTTTTTTTTAAAACAAAAAAAAAAGTAAATCACCTTCAAATTTGCCATCACTGTCTTAGATAGATTTATTCTTTTATGGTTCGGTAATACTAAAAGTCAATTTATAGATTTTCAAATCAATTCACTTCATAATATCTTCACAATTATTTATTAAAATTATTTGAAGATATCAACGACTTCCAGAGTGGCTCAAAACAAAAAAAGTTCCTTCTGGAACAAATTTTGCTAGAATAAAACGCGATTTAAGGGGGTTTAACCTTCATACGGTAAATAAACAATAATTATATATGCTTTTCAAATTTGTATATATTTTAAAATACAAACATATATTTTATTTTAATAGGTATGTGAGGAAGCAAGGTGTCCAAACATTGGAGATTGTTGGGGTGGAGGTGAGCATCAAACTGCTACCGCAACCATTATGTTAATGGGTGATGAATGTACAAGAGGTTGTAGATTTTGTTCCGTGAAAACAAGTAGAACTCCAAATCCTTTAGATCCAAATGAACCAGAAAATGTTGCTCATGCAATTTCTAAGTGGGGTTTAGACTACGTTGTATTAACTTCTGTTGATAGAGATGGTACCAAATCTTTTTTCACAAGTGATCTTTCATGATTCTTTTCGTCATCATCGATATTAATTAAATTTATAGATTTATCGGATGGAGGATCGGAACATTTTGCAAAAACTATTCGCTTACTCAAAGAAAAGTAGTATAATTTATATTATCAAATAATTCTTATTCATCCATATATAAATAATCATTATCAACTAATTTTTTTTTTTTTTTAGGGCACCACACATTCTTGTAGAATGTCTTACTGGAGATTTTCAGGGAGATCTCGATGATGTGACGAAAGTCGCATCTTCTGGTTTAGATGTCTACGCGCATAACATTGAAACAGTTGAAGCTTTGACTTCATATGTAAGAGATCGAAGAGCGACATTTAGACAAAGCTTGAATGTACTAGAACATGTAAAAAAAATAAAACCAAGTTTGATTACGAAAACTAGTATAATGCTTGGTGTTGGCGAAACAGATGAGGAAGTACTGGATGCGATGAAAGCATTACGTAAGATCAATGTTGACTGTGTTACTTTGGGTCAATATATGAGACCCACAAAAAGGCATATGAAAGTTCACGAGTACGTTAAACCCGAAAAATTTGATTATTGGGCTAAAGTTGGTGATGATTTGGGATTTTTATATACTGCGTCAGGACCTCTAGTGAGAAGTAGTTATAAAGCAGGTGAATTTTACATTGGAAATATTCTGAGAAAAAGAAAACTTTGAGGAGGACTTATTATTTTGATTAGAAAAAAAAAATTTGTTTTTTATTTATATAAAGCGTCAAAAAAAAAAGAAAAAAAAAAGAATGCAAAAGACGCTCGTTTGTCACCGAATGAACTATTAAAAAAAGAATAACAAATATAAATTTATTTATTTTTATTTAAATTGTTGATTAATGAAAAGTCGAGAAAAAAAAATAATTATTCAAAAAGTTCTCAAATAAAAAATTGATACAATATCAATAAGCAAAATAAAAGAATATAAATTTAGAACAAATTATACGTTCTGAAGAAAAATAAAGATGCAACCCCTTCGTAAAAATTATTTTAATCTAAAGAATGAAGGATCTGATAATAGTTAATCGCAAACCCAACCCTCAACTCTCCAATTCGATAAGTATCACTACGATGTTTGGAAATTATCGTTATTACAAAAAATTAAATTATAATTTATTTAACATTAAGAATTTGTGTAGTTTGATTAAATTTATTCACAACAGTTTCCGTGGTGCTGTGGAATGATGTGTTCAAAGAAGTCTTATACCACTTGAATGCTTCTTGTAAATCCGCGAGAGAACCGCGAAGTAAGGGTAAAGTATGGTTTGTGGTAAGTAGGACAATATTTTTTGCTTTTTCAAGAGGACTACCTTCACCATTCTTAATTTCGTTGACAATTTCACCATAACCTTGTCCAAAAAAGATTACCAAGGGTTTGAGACGTTCTTGAAGATACTCTGGAAGATATTCAGGAAAATGTTCAGCATTTAATTTGACATAATTGGAAATACATTCAGTTACGGTCAAAAGAGTAGTTGATAATTCAATGATTTTTGCTTGCACGGCTCTCGGAAGATCTTCATCCTTGTTTAGATCACCAAGAATCACGGTGGCGATACTTTGCAAATGAGCATGAAGAGTTACTGCAATATCAGGATTCTGAACGGTTGAAATTTGTCTCTTTACTTTTTCAACACATCGATCTCTTGTAGCAAGAGCAATATGGAGTACTCTAAGCGTTTGACTCAATTGATCAAGTTGTTGATCATTCTGAATATCTCTACTAGCAACATTTTCATCAGGGATCACTTTTTTAATTAAATCTTCGATTACGTCAACTAAAGGAGTGAGTTGAGAATCAACTTTGGCTACAAAACGACTGCCCGGTGTAGTAATATTATCTTCAATCGTACAACTAACGGTTTTAAAGATTCTATCAGTAGGTTCTTTTACAATCGGAAATTGCGAACTTAAACGTTGGACGGATTCTGCGGCAATCCTGTCAGCCTTTTCAATTTGGTCGCTAAATTTGTCGGAAACAGGTTTTGCCAAATCGGATACTTTACGTGCACCGGCATCGGCAAAGTCGATAGTCATTCGAACGAGTTTATATCTCTTCGCAGTTTCGTAAGATTGATTAACTATGGGTATAGTGAATAGTTCCTCTACTAATGCTGAGGACTTTGCTCCGTTGGATTCGTCCAACGTTGTGTCGTTGCTACTCTTTAATTCATCTTCAAAAGAAGAGTCTGAAGAATTAGATTTGTTGTCTTCAGAATCGGACGCGTAGGACGAGGCACCGTTTGAATCTTTCGACATATTTTACTCGTTATTTCGTTAGTTTATTTGGAGTTGGTTGAAAAGCTTGTCGCGCAAAAAGAACCACCTTACACTCTCCCTCAAAGGAAGGTTAAAAGAATATATATATATATATAAAAAGGAAATTATTCAATTAATTAGGGAAGAAATTAAAATCGTTTAATTACAAACAATGAGAATTTTTAAGTAATTATATATAATTATATTATATATATATACATTTATTTTAAATTTTTTTTTTTATAAAAAGGGGGGTTTTCAGGTGATTTTCAAACAAATTTCTGTATCATTTTTTTTTTTATTTATTTATTTATTTATTTATTTTTTCCTTTTCTTTATATAAAAACATATTATGTATTCAGTACAATATCTTAGAAATTAAGAATTATTCATTACTGTATAACAGTATATAATTATTATACTTGATTCAGCCAACAAAATGCATGTGAATAATGATAAAGGTTCAATTTCAATTATCCGAAAAAAAAACATCAGGCCCTTTTTTTTTTCTTTTTCAACCATATACAAAACAGTTTAGTAAGCAATTTTTTTTTTTAACGTTTGCCGGATTTATCGGAATGTCGATAGAAAAATTACTTATCTGTATCCCCTTACGAAAAAAAAATTTTTTTTTTTTTGTTCCCTTAGATAAACATTTCGTTTTATAATTTTTTTTTTTTATTTTCTCTTTCAATGGAACTACTAAAAAAATTATTGAAATTATCGTTATATTCTTTGCCAATTCAAATGTAAAAATATATGTATGATAGTAAAGGTTATGTCACGTCTTATTAGAGGCGCACTGACCAACAGATGTTACGCAAAATAGATGTACCCTTGAAATGATTCTTCAGTCATATGTTGCTGTAATTTCAACTGGTGTAGTTTTTAAGTTTTTGTTGCACAATAAAGTTTTTTTGACTTTCATATGTTGATAAAAAAACGATGAGACGATGATCTTCATAAATACCCATTTGGATATATGAAAATGTGAAAGCATCGACTGGGAGGGAATTTAGCGTATGATATTTGGTCTATTATATGCATAGCCGCAAGGAAGCACGCACCACTCCTTATCACTTCGAGACTTGATTCTTTTCATGTATGTGGGGTATATTGGAGGGAAGTAAAAAAATAAAAATAAAATAAAAAATTTCTTTTATTAACTATATAAATCATTAACAAGTGATATCATTATACCTAATTATTTATAAAAACAAAAGAAACCCTGCGTGTTATCTATAAATAAATCCCAAACATATGAAATATAATTTAGAATTTTTCCCGATTCTGCCGAGTAAATCAACTCTTTTTATTCTTCCGAATTATCCCGTAAAAGTAAAATTTATTTAAGGGGTAACTGATAACGAACAAAAATGGATCAAAGTGGACAAAAAATACAATTTCGAACATTTGTTAGTCATTTCTTCTAAATTTTTCCCCACAATGATATCTTTTGACGATTTATCTAAATCGCCCATACCCGCGTGATGACGATCGTCCTTCGTCGCAATGTAAATCGTTACTGCGCAAATAATTTGTTGATCAAAAAAAAAAAATCCCCACTCATCATTTGTTTTGATTGGTTAATGTTCTCATTGAACAAAATAATTAAAGTTGACATAGATTCGGTTACGATTGATGATCAAAAAATTCAAAAAAAGATGTTTGAATTAACAACACGAGTATTTACACGTGCTTCTAAAATGGAAAGATCTTTACATTATCAAATGTGGTGTAATATTATAAGAGTTTTGTGATTTCATCACATAAAAAAAAACATAATCAAGTTCCCAAACAAGAATACTTGTAAGAACAAGCTCATGTGTAAATGCAATATCATGCAAATAACTCGATTTGACTTTTTTTTATGGCTTAAATCTTTAATAATAACACATAATGATTATCTTTCTTAAACAATTCATTTTTTTTTTGTTTATTTTCTTTAATAATATTATGAATTCATATATCTTGGTTAAAACGATTGTTTTTTAATAAAAAAAAAAATAATAATTAATATTTTTTAAATTATCCCAAAAATATCTAAATATGATACAATATAAAAAAAAAGTACAAACAAAGGGGATTCCTCATTTTATATACGTCGATCATAATTTTAAATTAATCACTCATATTAACCTCCATTTGAATTTGTTTATGAATATAACAGAGATAATCAACATATGACATAGCTCCGTTGTTTTCATCTTCAATCAATAGGCTATGGAACTCGATTTCAGTAGAATCTATTTGCATTCTTGCAATTGTTAACCGCAAATATTTTGATCTTTGCGATTGAAGGTATGATATAATGGATCGAATTTGTATCGATGTAGGATTCTCGAGCTCAGGAAGGGAGGACTGTAAATTTTTAGATGATTGTTTTTAAGGTTTTTTTTGAATGTTTATCATATATAAAATAATATATTATAATATATTGTAAAATTAATAATATTAATACATACAAGCTTTGGATCAATCTGCTCGATTGTATCAATTCCAAAAACATTACGTATAAATTCAGATGATAATTGCCGTCCAAGCCAAAAAATCAAAATTTGACCATTTTCTGATGAAAAAAAAAAATATTTTAAGATATAAAGAATAAACCAAAATAAAGAAATGGTTCTAAAACCAACCTAATAAATATGCTCCTTCATTTTCGAGCCTAGCATATGATACTCGTATTAAAGGGGGCAATTTTACTTTGCCATGCTCATCAGGATACCCAACCTAAGTATAAATATAATATAATTGGTTAATGTTGTTGGGTTACCACTTTAAAAGGTTTTACTTCAATTTTTTCTTGCCTGATCCGATAAATTATGAACAGGAATGAGTCGAGGATAAAAAAATGCAATACTCTCTGTAACACCTATGCTTTTAATAAAACGCATACAATGTACTCTGGCATCACTCGTAAGGTTAGCACCTATCAATTTAATAATAAATAATTAAATAATTAAATAATTAAATAAATAATATTAAAATATATATGCTTTACCACCACGAAGCGCCTTAGATTTTAACATTGTTAAAGCATATAATGGAAATAATTTAAATGCTTCTGGTAAAATGAGTTGTCCTGGAGAACTTGAAGAAGCACAATGTCTTCGATATGACATTAATATTTTAACGCATTTATCAGTTATTTGATCACGAATGTCACGCAGTGGCTTGGTAATTGTGTTCGATACAGCTAAATATTAATATTAGAGATCAATATATTAATTTTCAGGAAAGAAACGAAATAAAAATTCAAAAAAATTAGTAACACACCTTGCTTCGCAAGAAAATTGACTGTAGTGTCCATTTCGGCATGTCGAAATACGTTTCCAAGCAATGTTGTAACTGTGACACTCAAATTATGCGTCCGTACTCGACGTTGTCCAGTTGAAGTTGTGTATAGGAGCGCACATTGAACATATGCTTCCGTTTTCTCGTCGAGTTTGGTATCATATTTAAGTAAAGCACCAAATGCTTTATCGCTATCAATGCCTGCAAGTTCAATATCGGTTGTATTACGCATATTGAAATTACCAAAATGTTCTTCAACTCTTAAACCTGGAAAAATAATTAAAATTCAATATTTTTATTACAAAAGGATAATAAAATGTAATATCAATTAAAAAAAAAAAATTCTGATCATATAATTTTTAAATACCATTCGAGCATCGAATTCTCATAAGTGCATTATAACCAAATTCCCGTGTGATATTTTGATGTAATTCATATGCAAATTTACCACCATCTCTTTGAACGTCAAAGTTGGGATAATAGTATGTCTCGCCACCAGTTAAGCATGACAATAATCCTAAACGTCGCAGTTTCGGGAATACAAGCATAATTTAATTAATACACTGAGAAATCACAGTAATATAAGACAATAAAACGTTCTTTTATAATAAACTTACCAATGGTTGCGATGTCAGTATATATATTGGGGAAAAGGAATAAATCGATACAAATTCCAGAATCGACGCAATTAATCGCCAAATTTTTATAGTAACTATCTTGAGGCCCAAATAAAGACCTCTCTTTATCAGTATTATATAATTTCGGATCCTCCCGATGTTTAATTGATCCAGGACCAAATGTTGGAAGGGAAGTTTGGAAAATTATTAATTTCCCACCAGTCGTACTCTAATCACAATAAAGGTTCCCAATTAAATTATATTTTATAATAAAATACAATAAAGTTTTTAATATATATTCCGCAAACCATACCAATGCCATATGCGCTGCTCCAACAACAGCACCTAATACGGGCTCTATGACCTTATTCTCAGCAAACATTATTGGTAATGATTCCAAAAGTGATTCTATAACAGTTCTTCAAATTGATTGTATAAAAATGATGACTTATTGAACTTAATTATTTTTGACTAAATGGTTATTTCGTTAATACATACCTAGATTCAATCGGATCCACCAAAAGTCCGGAATTGAGTGGAACAAATACATCGTTAACATCAGAAACGACAAGCATTTGTGCTTGTTCAAGTTGAGACTAAATAAATTAATAATCGTCAATTAATTTGAATTTGCAATCAATAAAATTTTTTTAAAAACTGATAAATAAATACCTGCAGATTATAAAAATGGACGTCTTTGTCAAAAGTAATAATACCGATTTTGCCTCCTGATGGTATGCTTTCTGGATTATTATACAATATATCTCTAATAGTTTCCACACATTTTGCAAGCATTCCACTTTTAATAGAATTCCATGAAACATCAATAGCAAAAACATATGATAAAGGTGCTGGAGGTCTAGCCCAATATTCCTAAATTTTCACAAATGATCAAATTATTTATTTCATAAGTTAATGTTGTCAAAAAAAAAAAAAAAAAAGATAAATCCTATTGTTGTTATTAATACCTCAGGAGCAGCAAACTCTACCGTTCCATACTTTAATTCCGGTCTTTGGTCTATGTCAGCACGGCGTCCATTCATGTCTAAATGACAGAAATATTCTGGCGGAACTATTAAAATAAAT